TTATATTTTATATTATATTTTATATTATATTTTATATTTTATATTTTATATTTTTTTCTTTTTTATCATCAATTCTATTTTATAATTTATAATATTAAAGTTTTAATAAATATATGAAGATATCATTATAAAATTTAACGTACTTGAATATAATTAATTAATATATGAATTTCATAATAAATGCAACAGTTTTTTGTTTCACTATCTACAATTTATACATATACAATATACATTCGTAATTGCATTATGATTTTTTTTTAATTTAATACAATTTAATACAATAACACAATTATAATTTAATTTAATACAATAATTAATTTTAATTTAAATACATTATAATATAATTTTATTTTAATTTTAATTAAATACATATAATACATAAAAAATTAAATCATCCGATATCTTCGCGTAACAATAATTAATTTATTTTAATTACAATTGATAACATATGATAATATGATATAATCCAGAAAATTATGATTAATCTTTTTCTAAATACAGTTAAATTCATTTCATAATTGCATAATTAATGACTGACGTTTTTTTAGTAGAACAAGAATCTGTGTTGATAAACCAATTCGCCGAATATTTTTAATTGTAAAGTGAAAAAGAAAAAAAGAGAAAAAAAAAAGCAATTAAGCGATGGACAACGTTATTCGTTAGTAAGAAGAAGAGTACTTTTGAAGGATTGATAATTAAGTTGTCCACACGTGGTAATTGCATAAATATAAAATGAATCGTTAAAGAAAATAATTTAACTTACGATTTGATAAAAACATTTAATGATAAAAACATTTAATGATAAAACACGTTATATTGGAAATTAATTAAAGCATTCGAAATTTTATTTTAGAAGTTGATTTGTATAAGCAAAAAGATGATTTAACTTACCCTTTGCCTACAATGATCCACATATCGAAGCCCAAAATAATCCGTTTCCAAGATATTGAGTTGCTTGCATACATATTCGAGAATATACCTTCCTTTGTGCTGAGGCTGCAACAAAAATAAAAAAAGAAAAGAAAAAAACTGCAATCAAGTATAAAATTTATTTTTATCATTTCAAATTTTACTTTATACTTTCAAAAGAATCATTCATTAATATAAGAATTTTATTGCTTTATTTCTTGATAATTGATCCTTAAATAATTTTTTGAATTAATTTTGCAAATCAAAACAAAAATTATTACAATACAAAAAGCAATTTAAATTTGCATTAGATAAAGCGAAGCAGAAACAAAGCGTATAGATAATGTGATAAACACAAAACTGTGTCATTTTATATTTATTTTTCTTTATCTAATGCGGATTTCGATTGCTCATAACTTAATTATATAAGCTTTAATAGATATTTTCTTATACCCATTTTTATGTTTATTTTGATTTCTAAAATTGATCCTCCAAAGATATCAGATGAATATGTTAATAGCTGTAAAAAAAATTTTTTTTCTTTTTTTTTTGTTTTCGTATTAAATAATTATATGATATCTTTGTCCATTTTCAATTTCCAAGAAACTCCACATTTAATTTTATATTTCATTTATTTTTTAGAGAAGAATGCAGATATATAAAATTTATAATAAAAATTATTTAATTTCTATATTCTTATGTATTCTGTAATATATACATACATATAATAAATAAATAATTAAAAATGTAAATGTTATATATTTTCATTATAAATTTATTACATATTGATCTGTATTAAAACTAAAAAACATTATATAATAATTTATATAACAAATTCCTTTACAGCATATAAGAATATAGCATATAAGAATACATCATATTTAATGCAACAAGTATCCATCTATTATATGCAAAATATTCAATTATAATTATAATGCTTCATATTCTAGTACTATAATATAGTACTATTAGCCAATTAAGTGACAAGAATTGTGTATTTTGCTTGTCCATGTAATTATGCCTTGAAAACATACTAGGAATCACACTTGATGGCGATAAGCCATCATTAGATCAAAAGTACAGAATTGATTAATATGCAAGCTTAATATACATATCAAACAAATTTAAATGCAAATGTCTATGAGCCTTATAAATATTTTTAGAAATTTTATTAATCTTATGACCACTTTAAATATTTATATCAAACAATATAAGAATGATAGATCAAAATTATGTCGAATAATTATAAAAGAAAAATATTATTATCTCATAAAACATAATTTTCAGTGTAAAATAATGAATAATATTTGTAAGAAAAAATGAATGCATCATTTTTATATCAATTGATATCAATTAAACAATTAAAAATTTAAAAAAAAAAGTTTTAAAAAATAGATTGCGCCAAGAAAAAGAATGTGAAAATATAAAAAGTTTTTAGAATAATATTGAATATGAATAATGAAAATGTTTGTCCTAATGGTGAAGTGATTTTCCAACAGAATTCAACTTCATGTCATATGGAAATTTATGCAGCGGTATATTCAGTATCAGAGAATAAAGAAGTTAGTCGATAAAAATCAACTATCCTGAATATATTTTTGAGATAGTTTCAAATAATTTTTTTCTTTCCAAAAATTTTTATTTCAATTTTGTTAATGAACAATTCTGATGAATCTCAGAGCTCTATGACGGTAGTGTTGGATATATGCCGCCAGCGAATCACTAGATTTAAATAAACAATCGAAACAATGTATATAACTATTATTATACTATTGATTTGTATTGTACTATTGTATTGTACAATTGTATTATTGTACTATTGAAATTGAAAATTTTCGTAAAGAAAAAAATTGTTTGAAATTACTTTAGTTAAGTACTCTGGTTTTTAAAACACATTATATACTTTATGTTATCTACAAACTCTGTGATACAACAAGCAAAGATACAATAATATTATTTCACAAATAATAAAAATTTCATATATATAATTATATATATATATATTCAATATTATATAATTATAGTAATTTCATATATATATATATTCAATATCAATTCTAATATCAATGCCATTATTCGTTCTTAATAAGAAATAATGCCTCTATTATTACTTATTACTTATAACTTGTTTGTTTATTTCTATTATTTTTATTATGACTTATTATAATTTATTTGATGTATTAATACACTTAATATCAGCCCCTATTATCGCCACTTCTAATAACGTTAATGAGGCCGAATCGAAGAGATGGCGCTCGTGTTTCAAATCGTACAAACGCTAATTCAATCTTTATTCAAGATAATTATTAAAAATATAATGAATGAGTAAACAAAGTTTCATAATTTTGGGATTGAAAATGTAACAGTTTTTAATTAATATAAAAAAGGTATCAGTCATAGTAAGAACAAACAGAATTCAGAAAAAAAATTGACAAATTGAAATTATACTAATAATTTATAAATAATTAAAATTTATTGAAAACGATTATTGGTATCAATTTAAATCTAAAACAATTTTTTCCTTGACGATTATTGGTAGCTCAAAGCAATCATCGATGAAGCCTAAGAATTAAATTTAATAATGCAACCTAATAATTGATTTAAAAAATAAATTAATAATACAACAAGAAAATCAATTATATTTAATATAATCAATATAATTATAACAATTGATAATAATAATTTAAAATATCAAGTAAATATCAAGTTTCATCATGTCAATATCATCATTATCAATAACAAAAGATAAGGAAATTTTCTAAATTTGAAAAACTAAGGAACAAAAGCAAAAATTAATCAAATGCTTCTTTTTTTTATATGACATAAAAAATCTAACTTATGTTTATAATATGTTTATAATATTATATATTAGATTACAGATTGATTAATAAAACTGCATAGAATATGCTATCAAATTCCAATGATTTCAGAAGACAAATAATAACCCCATTTAATCTTTAGAAATTCATAGCATTCTATTTTACTTGTACAATGCAATGCAAATTTTTCATCAATTGATATAGCAGACATAGCAGAGGATTAAAATGCTACAATATAGATTTTATTGTGAATATCAAAAAACATTTATTAACATAGGCAATACCTAAAATAAATATTCTATCATATAGATAATGTATCATCAACGTAAAAAAATGTAAATGCATTTAGAACGAGATACAAAATTATAAAAGAAGTTATAGAAAAAATAAACAGATGAAGACTTTTTCAAAAATCTTATGTAATTAAAAATTTAGAAAGTTCATAACATTGTTATAGAAAAAAAAATTTATAAAAAATTATGGATGTAAGTAATGTTAAATAATAATTTAAAGATAAGAAAAAATCCACTGGACACCAAAAATAGAAGAGGCATTCAAACTAAACGAAAAACAAATAACGGAGACTTTTCTATTATATATCCAAGGATACTACTTGGTTTAACAACAGATGCATTGAATATAAAAATAGATGTCTAGAGCATTCTCATGGAGAATAAAAACCATTTAAATTCTTCTTCTAAGAAAATTATACAAGCTCGTTATAATATTTAATATCAATAAAAAAAAAACTGTTAATATATAAAAGCATCAAAATCTTCCATCAAAAAGGACGGACATACTAATTATATTATTCATAAACAATTTAAGATCTTAAGAAACAATTATATAAAAACTAAGACACATCATTAAAAATCCATAAAAATTTAAATTATATAAAATATAAATTACTAATTCAAATTTATTTATTTTATCCTTCAAACATTTCTATAAATTAATAACATTTTTGAAAGAATTAGAAGCCACAAAAATTTTGATATATAAAAATCTTGATTAAGATTTATTTATTAAATTATAAGCAATTTTTTTTTTTTTTTTTTTTAAAAAAAAAAAAAAAAATTGTTTATATTTTAAAAAAAAAATTTAAAAAAATTTTTTTATATATCAAATTTTTTGCGGCTTTAAATTTTTTAAAAAATTAAAAACCCCAAAAATTTTGATATATAAAAAACTTTGTTAAAATTTATTTATTAAATTTAAAACAATTTTTTTTTTTTTTTTTTTTAGATAAAACAAGATTGAAATAGAGCTATTTTATAATAAATGGACTTCCATCGATATTTTATATTTGTTTTGATCTCTAAAAAGACATTTCAAGATTATATTGATAGTCTATATATGTATCATATTCAGCATCTCTAGAATATTCCACGCTATGTACAATTTTTCTTCTTTCAGAGGACACTTAACCAGAAGATAAATAAAAAAGAAAATCTTATATACATTCATTTATCTATATATTTTATAAACACATTGTAAAGTAGACAAGAGTATGCATACATAATCAGACTAGCAAAATCCACACATAAACTCAACATAAATTTGGAACTATAATTCCTAAAAGACCAATTCGAATATATTTACATAATAATAATCCATAGCGTCGTATCAACTCGCGAAAATCGCCAAAAATTCTTTGCATACAAATAACTGTTCATACAAACTATTGACAATTAGATCAAAAATTTCAACTTTCAATTTCAATTTTCGAATTCCGCATATAAAAATCTATATTTCTAAAAATGCCTTTTTCTAAAAATTTAAACTCTTTTTTGTTATCATATAACAGTCTTTAGTTTTCCAAAATAAAATAAAATATATATATATATCAAAAATTGATATTAAATAATTTTCTTGATTGATATACAATATCAAAAATTTATAATAAAAAATATCGAATATCTAATATAATCGAATACTATTGAGACCAATTATATATTATATATATAATATAGCGATATGGCATCCATTATAGCAGTAATACGGAAGCGATATCAATATTATCGTTGCAAGATTAATTAATACCACTTACGATACGGTAATTTATAACTTGCCGTTTCTCTATCAGTGAAAAGGATTTGAGGATATGTATAATATCGCAATTAATGATTCATTTATTATTATAAAAAGAAAAATTTATAGAAAAATTAATATTTCGTCAAATTTAAATAAGAATACTATAATAAATATTATATTCAAATAATTTCTTTAAAAAATTAACAACCAAGAAAATACCTAACATTTGAAATA